TCAGTCCCCAACAAGGCGATGGATGTACCAAATATGATGCTTGTCCTGCCGTTCCATTCCCAAGGCCAGTACTTGGGAGTCCTTTCAGTAGCCATGATCCTTACTTTTCCGACACAAGCAGCCATGACCATGCCACCAAATGAAAACACCGAATCCTCACACCAATGTTTTTTAGATCTTAGGACTTATCGATCTTCCATTGACACTGCTTGCCCGGTGTAGTGGAATCAGTGCACTGAATCCTCACAGCTATTGACTTTCACCTGATTTTCAAGTGTAGTGCAATCAATAATCAGTGTAAGAGAACCTGCTTTTGATCTGTGCTTGCTTTAGTTCATCCAGCTAGTTTGCTTATAACCATCTGATTATAAACAGGAATATCTAACAGTTCTGTAATGGAAGCATTAGTCTTGCGGACTCAGCATCTCTGTCTTTTTGTGTCAATGCAGAAACCAGAATTGTGTTAAAGCAGTCAGAGTCTACAAGATGGCGGAATAGATGCCCAACTTGTATTGTGAAAAAAAATCGAGCGAGGAGGTCGAGAAGAATCCATTTGGAAGTTTAACATGAATGGTTGGGAAGTTTTGCAGGCTAGTTGTACATTGTACTGTTATGCTTCGAAGGCATGTCTTGGCTCTAATAAAATACTAAAAAACTCAAGAGTGTGCTGTGCCTTTTGGCTATAGTAATGAAGGTTTACATGGATGGCTCTTTTACAGTTACAGTTTACACTTATTTTGGTACTAATCATGTACCCTGTCGATCTTATGTTACGTCTACAATGTGTTGACATGTAGTCAGCGGGCTGTATGTTGCCTTTCAAAAGTATACTCCCCGTGTCCCAAAATAAATGATGTTTTTTATTTTTTTAGCCAACGAACAATATTTTTCTCTCACACAATCTATAACACTAACGGCATTCAACAGTGAATAAATGAGAAAAAAATTACCTACTGCAATCCATGGAAAATTTCCGGTGCTCAACATTAGAGTACCAAACATTAGAGGGCTCCATTGAACCAAAACCTAGCACAATAAGAGTACCAAATATTAATATCGGAACTTGAACCAAAGACTAGCGCATAGATTTTTACGTTTGCTCGTAGGGGATCTAACATTGACATGTAGAGAATTCAAAACTACTAGTGGTACGAACCAGCATATTCAGAACACTAGGTCAGGCGCCAGGAGATTAAAAAATGACAAGTTCAACATGATAGCATTGACACCAACAGACAGAAATCAGCTGTAGCAAGTTTCTTTTGAAAGAAAAGCTGTAGCAACACTAATAAGAGGAAACAAAAAGGAAATAATAAAAAAGCAAATGGGAGCCCGGCAGGCCAAATCGCAGAGCCCCCTCACATTTTGTGTGGATCCACAGTATATACGTATACCACCTGTAATCAGGTTTTATATATCTGTATTGCAGTTGGAGGAAAAGTAGCACATATCTCGAGGTAGGTGGTTCAACGGATGCATGTCTCGTGTGTGTTCTTGATGCGCGCAGAGATAGTAATGGCATTGCCGCGCGCGCCCGAGGTCGGCGTCAAGATCTATGGTGCCGAGCTCGGCGTCAAGATCTATGGTGCCGAGCTCGGCGTCAAGATCTTTGGCGCCGACCTCGGCGCCATGTATTTTTCACAACGAATACCGGCGAGATACAGATCACCAATGGAACACGTGCCGTATCAGCCAAACAAAGATATATCACGTTAGTTTGGCTTTGCTATCGTCCCGATACGTTACGGCGTACTGACAAAACTGAGGAGAGCCGCATCTCCGCCGGAAGCCGTCCTCGGTAGTCGTTATCAACTTCGCCGTCGTCTTGTTGTGCTGCTCTCTCGTAGGATCCAACGCCACCTCCGTGATTCGCCCTCCCAACCTCCTCGGCCGGGCACTAGTTCGGCGTCGTTAAGATGCTAAGCGCGCGCCGTGGCGCCAGCACATCCTTCTCGGCGCGCCAGGACTCGCGTCAACCCTAAGGTCAAAGATGAGTTTAAATCTTCCGGGAAGTAAAACGTAAATTTTCTTCGAAAAAAGAGCCAAATAGTAAAAAATTAGGTTGGCTCACAGCGGGGATGTGGCCGCCACCATTTTTCTAAGTCATTTTTTGTTGTTGTCGCTGCCAATGGAACCTTAGGCGGAAGCCATTTCTAACGTGAACCTTACCTGTCCATCGACCCGTACGCTCACCACATAGGCGTGGTCCTGGCCAGGTAAGCAACCAGCTGGGCGAGTCGTCGCCAGCCAAATAAGCTAAAGCTGCTTCTATTCTATTCGTCTCTGGCCGTTTTACTTATAAACCGTGGTTTTTAGTCAGGACTACGAATCTTTATTTTTCTTTCACAATAAATTAGTCAACACTTTCAATCATGGTTTATCAGCCAAACGAACAGTGCAGTTCAGAAGCCTCCAAGATATATCACGTTAGTTTGGCTCTTGCTATCGTCCCGATGGTCAGTACGTACGTAATAAATACCAAATGAGGTATACGGCGTACTGACAAAACTGAGGAGAGCCGCATCTCCGCCGGAAGCCGTCCCTCGGTAGTCGTTTTCTAACTTCGCCGTCGTCTTGTTGTGCTGCTCTCGTAGGATCCAACGGCAACGGGTGGCATCCGTGTATTTTAGGACGCTCAGCTCGTGTCGTCCCTCCCAACCTCCTCGTGTTACATACATTGTTCACTTGTTCTTGGCTTGGGTCTTACCGACCAGTCACCGGCAGGCGGCAGCCTTGGGTGGGTCTTCTGCCATTGTTCGTTGTTGTTGTTGCTGCTGCTGCTGCTGCCATCAATAATGGAGGTGGTGAATCGGTACGTCGCCACCCGGCACCACATCGTGGGCGCCCCAACAGAGGCCGATTTTGAGGTGAAGGAGGAGACGGCGAGGTGGGCGCCTGACTCCGGCGAGGTGATTGTCAGGAACCTGTACCTGTCCATCGATCCGTACCAGCTCAACCGCATGAAGCGGATCAGCGCGTCGCACCTCGCCGTCGACAGCATCCTGCCCGCCCAGGTAAGCAACCAGCTAAACCGACGGCGAGTCGTCGCCAGTCTCCGTCCCGCTCTGCTCTCCATCAATAATACGTGCGCCTGACGTGAAGAGGCTGCTTCTATTCTATCTCCGTCTCTGGCCGTGAAGAGGATCGCAGCGTACGCGGCCGGCGAGGTGGTGGCGTCGGCGTGCGAGGAGTACAAGGCGGGCGACGTGGTGGCCGGCGTGCTCGGGTGGGAGGACTACACGCTGTTCAAGCCGTCCCCGGCCGTGCTCATGTCCAAGGTCGCCGACGCCGCCGACGCGGGCTTCCCCCTGTCCCACCACATCAGCGTGCTGGGCACCAGCGGCATGACCGCGTACGGCGGCCTCTTCGAGGTGGGCAAGCCGGTGAAGGGCGAGAAGGTGTTCGTGTCGGCGGCGTCGGGCTCCGTCGGCAGCCTCGTCGGCCAGTTCGCCAAGATCGCCGGCTGCTACGTCGTCGGGTGCGCCGGGACGCAAGCCAAGGTAATGCCCCTCCATCTCCAGCACGTCACAGTGCTTCTGTTCTGTGGTGCCCTGATCTACACGTGTCACTGTCAGCCACACATGCAAATGGCCCACTGGCCCAGGTTTTTGAAAAGCACGAGCCACCGTTCAATTGTTGAAGTCTGGATGAATTCACAGGTTGATCTGCTCAAAAACAAGCTGGGATTCGACGATGCTTTCAACTACAAAGAGGAACCTGACCTGAAATCAGCGCTGAAGAGGTCAGTGCAGCCACTGTTCGATCGTGCTCGTCGCCGTCACCTGAACCATCTGCTGCTCTGCAGGGCAGGCTGACCTGACACAGAGCATGCATTTTGTTCAGGTACTTCCCCGACGGCATCGACGTCTACTTCGAGAACGTGGGCGGCGAGATGCTGGAGGCGGCGCTGGCCAACATGAACACCTACGGCCGGGTGGCGCTCAGCGGCGTCATCGCCGAGTACACGGGCGGCGGGCGGCGGCGCGGTGCCGGACCTGCTGGACGTGATCTACAAGCGCATCACCATCCGGGGCTTCTTCGCCTGGGACTTCCTGCCCAAGTTCGCCGAGTTCAACGCCATCATCGCCGGCTGGATCAGGGAGGGCAAGGTCAAGGTGGTCGAGGACGTGTCCGACGGACTCGAGAGCGTCCCGTCGGCGTTCGCCGCGCTCTTCCGCGGCCAGAACGTTGGCAAGAAGCTCGTTAAGCTGGTGTAGAAAGAACCGTCCATGGAGCATCCTGTCATGCCGGTGATTCATCAGTACCCTAGAAATTGGAGTGGCTTTGTTAATTTAACTGAAATGAAATGCAGTGGGGTGTGAATTGAAATGCAGTGGCTTTGTTAATTTAACTGGAAAAAAGAATGAGCATAACTGTCATCAAGAACATAAATCTGCAACGGCATTCCAGTTAGTAGATTGTTCTGGCTGCTTGCGACGTTGCCTCCAGCGGGAGCACAAAGCGGGTGGGCTCGGGCGAACCCGTCGCTGGCGGGGCATGTAACACCTGTTCACTTTATCGTCCGTGGTTTATAAGCTGGCTGATACTATTTTATCGTGTCGAGAAAAATATTATATATAAGCATGTGCGAACACTGTGAGAGAAAAACACGGCAGGGCTGTTTTGTTGTGTGGACGGTCTAGATTTTGCCGCCGTTCTTCACTGTCAGGCTAGCCTTACAACAGAATCCATAACCAACTGGTTAATTTTCCTCTGTTCTCTCGTAATCTCGTTTATGCATCACATACTAATGCCGAAACGGATTCGATGTCCACTTCCCTTCTGCTACTTTGGAGCCCGTTGTGTCTCCGTTCGTCTTTGGCGAAGGACATTCGGAATTGGACGCCTCTGATGTCGATTCGGAGTTCGGACCTGATGGAATCGCCCCCATAAAAGGCGAGGCCGCCGGGCACGCCCTGCTCCACCAAACCAGAGCATCAGCGATCGCACCGATCAGCTAAGAAACAAACCTTCAGACGGCACTCGACGCACCAGCAGCCATGGGACACCGCACGTCGGAGCTGCTGGCTCTGTTGGTGATCTCGCTGTCCCTGCTGCTACTGCTGCCCTCTGCCGCGGCCGCCACGGCCACAGCGAAGGCCATCGACGCAAGCAAAGTCCAGCGTCTGGAGCTGCCCGACTCTCTGGTCGGTCCAGAGAGCGTCGCGTTCGACGGGCGCGGCGCCGGGCCCTACGTCAGCGTCGCCGACGGCCGCGTCCTCCGGTGGGGCGGCAACGGCAACGGCTCCGGGTCCGGCTCTGGCTGGACGACGTACACGTACAGCCCGAGCTACAGCAAGAACAACTGCGCGACGCCGTCGGAGCTCCCGCCCGTGGCCACCGAGAGCTCGTGCGGGCGGCCACTGGGCCTGCGGTTCCACCGCCGCTCCGGCACGCTCTACGTCGCCGACGCGTACATGGGTCTGATGCGGGTGGGTCCGGGGGGCGGGGAGGCGACGGTGGTGGCGACGGAGGCCGTCGGGGAGCCGCTGCTCTTCGCCAACGGGGTGGACGTGGACCAGCGCACCGGCGAGGTGTACTTCACCGACAGCAGCAGCACGTACCGGCGGTCGCAGCACCAGATGGTGACCGCCACGGGGGACTCCACGGGGCGCATCATGAGGTATGACCCGCGGACGGGCGAAGTGGCGGTGCTCCAGTCCGGCGTGACGTACCCCAACGGCGTCGCCGTCAGCGCCGACGGGACCCACCTCGTCGTCGCGCTCACGGGCCCGTGCAAGCTGCTGAGGTACTGGCTCCGAGGGCCCAAGGCCGGCACGTCCGAGACGCTCGCTGACCTGCCGGGGTACCCGGACAACGTGAGGCCCGACGGGAAGGGAGGCTACTGGGTGGCGCTGCACCGGGAGAAGAACGAGTTCCCGTTCGGCGTGAACTCGCACCTGGTCGCTGTTCGGATTGGCGCCGACGGCGAGACGCAGCAGGAGATGAAAGGCCCCAAGAACGTCAGACCCACTGAGCTGGTGGAACGAAAAGGCGGCAAAATATATATGGGGTCTGTAGAGCTGTCGTATGTTGGCATTGTTAGCACTTAGATTAGAGGTGCCTATCTTATTGAGATCTGTTCTGGATGTATTAGACATGGTTTTATTGGAATTTTGGTGTGGGTATTTTGTAAACATGGTAGTTCTGTTATAAAAGTTAAGTTGAATGAATATACTGCTCGTGTTCATGAACTAACCCACCGATGTTCATGGTACTCGCTTCAATGCCTGCAGTGAAGCCTTGCACACACACGCGCACCGATGTTCAACTTGAAAGCCTACCTGAAATGCAGCTGGAGCGGCAGGTCACTTGTCTTGTACTAGGAGAACGTCGGCGGTGAGACGCCGCGGGCCGTGCTGGAGATTGTCCTATCGTCGTTCGTTCCAGCGGCCAAAATATTAGCAAGAAGCTTGTATACACAAGCAGAACCCGGGAGATTGCTGACCATGCCAGTAGTGAATCCGTGCCCCAGAAACTGTAATTGAATATCTACTGGAGTGTGAAATGAATGTAGTTCTGTTGAGTATAAATAGACAAGAAAATGCTGGAGTGGCAAACATTCAGTTATGCTGAAAGAAGGCCCCGTTTGGAACGGAGTATTTTCATACGAAAAGTAGAAGAAACAAAAACAGAGGAAAGTTTTCTGAGAATAGCGTTTGGATTAAAGGATTCTCTGGTTACTTTCCTATGGAACACTGTTGCAGACTTCTCGTTTCAAAGAAAAACAAAAATCCAATCAGAACTCAGGTTTTCTCTTCCTTCACGAAGTACGAGACAACCACGCTGCTTAGACGTTGCGCTAGCTTGTGCACGTCAGTGTCCAATCTCTGCTATTTTAAAGCTTGCACTGATAAGTACCCATATTTGCCTAACATGTTATAATTCCTATGTTATAAATTTTTGTGTTCCAAACAGCCTAAATTTTTGTCAGGGATATGTAGGATGGACTGCCATGTGGGGCCAGGCTGTCAGACAGAAGCAAAGACAAGGCCAAGCCAGTACAAAGGGCCAGGATGGCAAGAGGAAGGGGATCGAACAAGTAATCAGAACAACACATTCCTCTCCTAGGCTACTGTTCATCTTCCTCCTCGGTCTCTCTTCTTCACCTTCCTCCCCCTTTATTCTCTGCTCTGACCTCCTTTACCCTCGAGGTCCTGTACTCCTGTCGCCTTCAATCTTATCTATTAGCTGCTCCAGACCTCCTTACCCTCGAGGTCCTGTACTCTGATTGCACCACCATCAAGTTATCTATTAGCCAATCCAGTGGGTTGCTAACAAATTGGTACTCGAGCCAAATCCTTCAAAGACCACAAAATCCACCACCATCGCTCCATGGGTCATCTCGACTACCAGCTTGCTCCATGGCGAGATTCAGCGCGGCGCAAGGAGTTGAGTCTCGGTTCGGCGTCGCCCACGAGCCTCCGATGACTCCTTCCTTGAGCGAGCCATGCTCCACCGCCAGAGTCCTCACCGCTTAGCCGCCGCGCCGCGACATCGCCGCCTCAACCACCTCAGTTCAGATGTGCTCCTCCACCCGCCTCCCCATCAAGGATGCCACGACGACTCCATCGCCTCCACCGACCTCTCCGCCTCCCCATCCGTGTCATCCGTGTCGGGCGGCCTCACCTCAACGTCCCGTCACGTTACTCGGCGTCGCCATGGCCATGAGCCCGCTCCGTGCTTGACTCTGCCTCCACCGACGACTACGATGGCTCCACAACCTTGGCCACTGGCCGGTCCAAGCCATGCTCGACGCCCACGCCTGAGAGTCCTCACCGCCTAGCCAAGGCAGCCACATGCGACATCGTCGACCTCGACCACCCCATCGGCCTCCTTCCGGATGAGGAGCTGCTCCTCCGCCGCGACGCCGTCTCGCCACCCCATCAAGGATGCACGCGCGACGGCGGTGCTTTCTCTCCAACGCTCAGAGGCACTCTCCGCGCCTCCCCATCCGTGTTGAGTTCGATATCTCTGAGCATGCGATGCACGGAGGTGCAACCCTTCTTCCTCGTCCATGCACCAAGCGAGTAGTGGCGCCAATCAACATCAACCATGTCGAGGGCGATGGGTGCCGTCCTTTTCGTTAATCTTCGTCGGCGTGAACATAACAATCGGTCTAGCGCTCCACGATGACTTTGCTAAGATACCAATTATGCCAAAGGTGCCGGGCTATCTCCTAAACTTCTAAGCGTTACATAAACCTATGCCACTAGTATTTTAAGCAACAAGAGAGTTCGGCCACAAAGCTAACTATGCTCACTGTGCTCAATAACAAGGCAACCAATGCCTACCCCTTAGCTACACAAACTCGGTAACAAGGTTACTAAAATCAAATTAGCGATGGCTCCTACTCGATGAAGAGACCGGTCCGGCGTCACCCACTTTGACACGATGCTCCGAGGTTCACGAACACGCTAGTCCCTTTGTGTGATGGCCACTTGGTGGTTCACCCAATTAGCATCACTCGCTGCCCCACGCTCGCGCCCGAACTCTTGAGTGAGGGTAGCTCAATGACACGCTTTATGTGGTGGGCTCATGGGCGCAGCATGGGGCGCGCCGCACAAGCTTCTTGCGGGCTTCGACGGAGACCACCACCCGTGCCGCCTAGGAGGTGGCAACCTCCAAGAGTAACAAGCACCATCGCCTTGAACAGCCACATGTTCGACGATTTGCCGGCCACTTACACAATCGAATGATCACTATCAAATATATGTGATGGAGGGCTCCAAGCACTCACAAGCGCCCACTTCATTCGGCGCCGCTCACTCACGGGAGGAGGAGATGCTCCGGAGCATGACCGGGCCTCAAGCCTCGGCGACGTCCCCGGACGCTTTCCCCGATCGAACGACGGACCGGCCTCCCGCCACCATGGCCGCGAAAAAGGTCCCACAGGATGACACGCTTTAAGCTACTCAAACGTCATCAACGACATCTACACTTCCGGTGCCTCTCAACCCTAAGCCCCGCCATGTTGAGTTCGACCATCTCTAGAGCATGCTAGCTTTTCGGATTAGCACGCCACGTGTTCAACGAGGAATTGTCACTCGAGCATGCGAGACATCTTCTGCAACATCTGCATTGGCTTCGATCTATCCTAAATCCGGTATAAACTTCTCTACACACCTATGACCGTCGTATATCATGGAGTCAATCAACACCAACCATGCCCACCAACACATGTGCAAGTTGAGTTTGGGTGTGGTAGTGTTGATGTATCGTCCACTTCCCAGCCATCTTTCACCTTGGGCAAATGTTGTTCCATGAGTCAGTCTGTTTGTTGGAAACCACCATGGCCTCTTCCATCTCGACAAGGCGTCCGTATTGGAATGGGAGCAATGCTTTGTCTCTTCCCAGTAGTGGCTTGGCTTCCTCATTGGTTGTGTTTTCATTTTCTCTAGAAGCCACCATGGCAGCTACCATGGCCTCTTCATTAGTGATCCCAACATATTCTTCCTCATTAGTCAGTTTTCATAAATTGGCCACAGGCGTGGTGGGCTCATACACTTTGATTCTCACTCTCTATTTCATGTGTTTGGCATCAGTTGTTGGGGACTACTTGCAGAGATGAGACCTATCACCTCTATGGTGCTCCTTCTGTTAGCTACTTTGGTTCATCTAGGTGTGGATCCAGTGGGTGATTTCTTTATCAGTTGAATCAAATAGACCTAGAGCTTCCTTCGGGAGTAGGAGACAGAGAGAGAGGGAGATGTAGGAGCATCTGACCGTCGGAGGAGCTCCCTGCCTTCGCTGGTTCATCGGTGAAGATCTACGCAAGGCAGCGACGGTCGGAGTAGCGGTGGAGACCGGCGGTGGTGGAGGCAGTGGCGTGGCGGCGGCGGTGCTTCCCGTCACTGGCTGCGCCCCTCTGTTAGATCGGAGTAGGGTTTCTAGGTGGGCCGTACGGCTCAGGCGAACCTCGTACCGAGAGCCGCCGGCCCCACCTCTATTTAATGCTTAGTGTGACGGGGGCCCGCCAGCCATAGATGGACTGGGTGCCCCCGATCAAGGCACGAGGTCAAGGCCCAAGTGGTCGTTGGGCCACTGTGGTTGGGAGATCAAACCAACATTCTCCTCCTTGATCTCAACTCATACTTTAACTTTAAACTTTGACTTTAATCCCTTTCACTTTTATTTGTTCCATCACAGATTAGTGCATAGAGAATGCTTCATCGTCACGATCAATCGCCGATAGATTTAACAGCTACAATACACGTCTCTGTTCTGAAATAGATTCTTTAACTTTGGGCCCTTTATTGTCCGGAAATCATAGGCTATACCATAAACCCATGTCGACTGTGTGTTCTCTAAACACACTAGATGGTAAGCCTTTTGTACGCGGATCCACAAGCACTTGCTTGTTACTTTTATGTTCAATACTTTTAGTATGATTCCGGACTTTCTCCTTCACAACGTATAACTTTAACGTCAATGTGTTTGGCAGCACACTTGACCCGTTGTTATAGGAGTGAACTACTTAAATGGTTATTGCTGTTGTATACCATTATTAATTCCGGGTATAAGTTCTTTTAACCATTTCGTCTGTCCTTAAGCCTCATAACAAGCTATACCATGGGTATGCATCTTTGATGACACCACAACTGTTTCTTTGAAGCTTTTCCACAATAAAACTCCAACTACGAGTGTTAGCTACTATGTGGGTTTCACTAAACATCTCGCCAAAATTTAACTTTTGTACCCACAAGTATTTGAGAGTACTTATTCTTTCTTAATCACCATGAGGCCTATAAATCTTTGCACAATTGCAAAACATTCTCAACTCCATTCCAGTGATCTATATCTGGACTGGACTTCTGCCAAAACATCCCGGATACATGAACTATGTCAGGGTAAGTTCTTACTTATAAGCACTCATTAAGCTTCCAACAGCTGAAGCATATATGACGTCCTTTCGATCGGTCTCACATTCGTTCTTGGAACACTGAAAATTCCGAAAACTATTACCCTTAACTATAGCAACAGGCGCAGGTATATGCTCATATATACTTTATTTCTTTAGAATCTTCTCTAAGTATACACTTGAGATAGTTCT